GAGAAAAAGACCTGCAGCTTAAGTGTTGGTTATTCTTCAAACTCTCTAAATTTCTTTGGTCTCCTTTAATTCCATTAGTCTGGAAACCATCTTGCAAATAAGTGGAACTTGGAAACGTCAATCACAGGAAACCGTTCATTTTGCTGTTTCTGGGCACCGCGACTGTTTTGAGCTCTGCTGTGTTCAAGAATGCTCTGAGGTTTTCTTCACAGCACTATATATCTTGGACTTGGTTTTCTCAGAAAAACTGTTCCTGGTAAACTTTCAGCTCTTTGAAATGTTTGAATGCTTAACCGTATTTAATCCAAGGCTGTTAGCTTATTTATTCATTTTGGGAAACTGATGAAAAGCAATCCTTGGTTGTGCCTACTTTAATTATTCTCCAGATTTTATTCATATTATACATTTATTTATAACGTTTTATTATTTCTTCAAGCTATTTGAAAATGTGAAAGATTATTAAAATAATGTATACACATATGACACCACAACACAAACAAGTTTAGCCTATAAGCAGCAGTATATTACCTGACAGGGTGCTGAAGTATGTGGTGTCCTCCTCATCATCCTCATGTGATGAAGACCCTCCCACGTCCACAGTGTGGTCCCACTCCAGCGGGATGGAGTCCACGCTGACGGGCGTCTCTCTGCCCGACCGCTCCAGGGGGGGGGCGAGGAGCTGACACATGACCTGCCGTCGCGCTGCCCCTCCTGCTGGAACATCCTCCTCCTCTTCCTCCTCCTTCTTCCTCGACTCCTCCCAGGACGTCCCACCGGTCAGATCGGGGGAGTCGTCCAGGTCTGATAGATCCCTCTCTTCCTCCTCCTCCTCCTCCTCAAGGAACTTCAGAATATTAAAGAAGGAAAAAGTAAGTAACACAAACTGATTTAGTCTGGTTAGACGTATGTATCCATGATGAGAGACACATACATATTGTCCTCCATGTTTGATTAGACAGACAATTGAATGATTTCAAGTAGGATGAATAACAAAAAGAGCAGTAGGCCTACTCCTCCAAAACAAAAGGTTTAATTGGTAGTAAAAATAATAAAAGTGAAATGTACCACTGTTACACATATTTAGTCTCTTCTGGACAAGCCATGTGTGAAACTGACAAATAAAACATTTTTAGCCTTACATAGACATTCTCTATGATGATTTTGTTTTTATAATTTATATATTTTCTTTATTCGTTTCTTTATTATTACCGTAATTTTCGGACTATAAGGCGCACCTGAATATAAGCCGCAGCAGCTAAATTGAATGATGTGTACATATATAAGCCGCACTGGACTATAAGCCGCAGGTGTTTTAATGTTTAATTACCATATGTAAGGGTTCGTGCACAGAGGGGATTGTCGGGAAAGAGATGGCTGTTTGAGGAAGCTCCCATTTATTAACATTTCAACAAACAAGTTGCATATTTGCATAACGTATTCAAGTGTTAGCATTTAGTGCAATAGTAGCTACAGAACATGTACTGTGCTGTGTAAACTGTACTGTATCACATAGCGTTTCAGACACACAAACTTTTCAACTTTCAAACTTAAACGGTGCTCTCCCAGCGCACGTACCGGCAGTGATCTACAGCAGTGGTTTTCAACCAGTGGTACGGGGACAAACTGTCTCGCTCTCGTAATGTCTGTCTGTCTTGCTCTCGTTCTGTCTCTCGTACCACTCTCGGTTCCACTTTTACTTTTGCGCGCTACCTGTCTCACTCTTTTCCGGCCTCCAGCTTTTCCTGCTGGAGCCCGCCGCTTAAAGGTGGGGGGCGCGGACCGGCCATAGAGCCCATAGAGTTAAAGGTGGTGGACTATAACCTGTAAAATCCATAGATTTAGGAGGTCCCCTAGTGGCCGTTAGCTGTGAAAAATCCATAGATTAGCCGCACCGTTATATAAGCCGCAGGGTCGAAAAATGGGAAAAAGGCGCGGCTTATAGTCCGAAAATTACGGTACTTACACCTGTGCTGTTCCTGCTAAGGTCAAATATCTTCAGTGGATTTTGATGAATCGGACATTAATGATGTCCAGACTAAAGCCCTTTGTCCCCATTACCTACTTGCCACCACAAATGAATTGACATACCTTTCATACACGCCCTGTCTTACGAAACAGTCATTTATCCAACTGTGTTACTTTATCTTTATTCCTACTCAATAAACTACAAGATAA